TAAACTTACTGTGATGTCAAAAAATGCATATCATTTTTTACTGAAGTACACACATACACAAACAATGTATTAAAAGAATATCACACGGGTTACAAAGTGAAACATTCAAGGTTAAAGAAAAGAAAGAATCCAGGTTGCCTAGGCAACTCTACTTCAGCCCCTTTGTTTTTACTCATTATGAAACACTCTGTAATGACATGATCATACGGTGTTTTTCCACAGGACCAGCAACTCAATTCAGTATGCATAGCACTTACTTAATGAGCAGTGACTATACTGTTTTTTTCTCGCTGTTCAGTGTACTTCCACACTATCCAAACTCTGCCCCTTTCCTTTCCTTTTTTGTGTCCTTGTAACAAGGTATTTAGCAGAATTTGGACTCCCTGGAATCTGACAGGCCGCACTGTGAACTCTTCTGCTATGGCTTTGAACTTGCAAACTCAGGCCATTAAATGTGCATGTCAGCACTCACACCACCCCAGCCAACCTCTGCACTGAAAATACAATTATTAATTTCCTTACTGGATTTTTGATAGTCCTTATCACTGTCACCTTAACAGTGTTCTTCACACATGGATGATCTGTGTTAATTCGCTTCACTTTTTTAAAAAGCAATTAAAAAAAGACATTCTATTTTGTGACATTGTAACAATACCTACATCATTCAATGGCAGGGTTGAACTCTTTATGTATAATGCACAGACTGCCAGTTCAGCTAACAGAGCAGCTGGTAGTGGTAGTAGGTTGTCATCCTCTACATGAACCAACACTTCACAAGTGGATGAGTGTGATATAATGGGCACAGACACTTCTCCTCTGGCAGTTTGACACGTTCTGCTTTAACTCTAACCTCTGTCCCTGTCGCAGTCTTGTTCTTCTCCATCCCAGCTTCTTGTCCTATTCTCAAATGCCCTAACCTAGCCAGTCCCAGTTGCCACTCAGTTTTCCCATTCTGGTCCGTCTCCCTGTTCTCAACCACAGTATCCTTACTCAGTCATTTCCAGCTACTCCCCTTCCCCATCACTAGCCAGTCCCAGGTCCCCACCAACTTTCCATCTCAACCCACCTAGAGAGGTGGTGAAATTTCCATTTTTGGAGGTTTTTAAGGCTTGGCTTGACAAAGCCCTGGTTGGGATGAACTAGTTGGGGATCGTCCTACTTTGAACAGGGGGTTGGACTAGATGTGACCTCCTGAGGTCCCTTCCAACCCTCATTTTCTATAATTCTATGATTCTGCTTCTTTTTCTCAAGTCACCCTGTCATCCTCTGCCAACCTTCTCTGGCACCACTCGTTCCTAGCCCTATAACCCTTCCCTGGCTTCTCATCCATTTTCAGTGACCTTTCACCCCCCAAGTCCTTATCACAATCTCTCTGCCCAGCTAGTCCCAGTTTTATACCCTGTACTTCATCAGATTTGTCTTCCTACCCCCACCTCCTTATTCTCAGTCTAGGGGTCTCCTGTTCTAGTTGTCCTAACCAGCTAGTCACATTATCCCCCATTCCAGCTCCTCATTTAATCTCAGTCTTCCTCAACACCCACTTGTTCCCAGTTCCCAAGATGCTTGTATAGCATCTTGACTCCGCCTCCCCCTCCACACACCTCCCCAACTCCTAGTCCCAGATTCTCTCTCTTCCCAGCCTCTGGTCACAGTCTTGCTCATCTAACTTCCTTGTCCTTATCTTCTCCATCCAACATTTGCCCCCAGATGTCCAGGTGGAGTTCCTGTCCCTTCTTCATTTAAATTAGGTAACTTCTTCCACATCACCTGGCCACTAGTGGGGCAGTCAGTCATGGCTCCAAGCTCACCAAATACTGAAGCAAACAAGCATAGCAATAACAGGGGAAGTCCACGTTTGGCCCTATAGTCCTAGGCTGAGATGTTTGGTGAGGAACATGCATGTGGTATCTGGTCAGAACTAAGAGGTATGAGATTTTCACTGCTAACATCAAGGAAACCTCTACTGAGCACAGGTGAACTGAGATTTTATCAAAGGCTTAACATCTGATCATATTTAGAGATTAACAGGGCCCTGGGATGTTGCTGCTTTAAGAGAGCAAGCAGCCTGAGAGGCTATTTGCAGGTGGCAGGGGGGAGCTAATGAGGGATTCACCTTATGAGAAGAGGGCTCAGACTTAATATAAGTCCAGAGTCTGCATTGGTCAGTCAGTCTTTCCCCAGCAACCACAAAGTGAGATGCTCCTGGCTGCAGGGCTCCTGAAAGAACCTGGGTGTTGCAGACCAACTCTGAAGGCCAGGAACAGAGGCAAGTTCCTTGGACTGAGAAAGACTGGGTTTACAAGCAAGTGGTCTTTGTTTTATGTTAAACCCCTGGAAGGCTTGAGGTGTCTGCCAGATGGCTGAGATGGTTCTTGTTCATTTAAGTTACACTGGTAGTTTAGCCTTGAGCCTGCCTGCTGGGGCAAACTCAAGGCTTGTTTAGAGAACCGGGAGCCCTAAGACTGAGGGTGAGGCCCAGTAAGGGATTCTGGAGCCTAGAAAAAGACTGAGACCCAAAGCAGAAGGTCCAAGAGCCCAGGGACAGGCTGAGCTAGGCCAGAGTCCAAAAGCCCAGAGTGGGCTAAGCCAGACCAGGGAGATCCAAGAGCCCAGAGGAGGGGTTGCTGCATGTGGGGCCAGGGGGGTCTGAGAGCCCAAGAGGCCAAGTATATAAATAGTTAAATCAAAGAGACAGAACATCTGTGAGGCTTGGGATGTGGTACAGGGGAGGAAATAGAGCCACATATTGAGCCCTTAAGGTTACAGGTGCCCTGGAGGGACACAGATATGCATGTAGAACTCAAAGCTACAGGGGCCCTGCAGTGCCACAGGCTAGCTGAGAGGGTATACTGAGCTTAAGTGTTGAATCAAAGTGTTTGGAGGTCCAGGAGAGACTCAGTAGTACTGCAAGTGGACTACAGCTCACACTAAGGCCTGTGGGCAGCCTCCTTTATTCAACTTCCGGTAAAAACAAGGCATGGTGGGTGAGCAATTAAGGGAGAGCTGCAATAGAGACTGAGCTGAGCAGGAGTCGCATGGCTACCAGGGGGCTTCATAGGTTCATGCCCCAGGGGCAGCTGTCACAAAGACGTTTTCATAGAGACTGCGAAAGACACCCCTTTCATGGTCATATTCCTGCCAAATCTTAATTCCCTGTTCCAAGACCTGGGGGTGCTAGAGCTTTTCAGACGTAATATTACCAGCACTCTTTTTCCCATTCCAAAACAACATACTATTTCCTAGCTTTATTCTCTGAAACGAATACATCATTCCAGCTCAAAATTTAAACAAAATTCAGCTTGAGGCAAAGAAGTGTATGGAAAATTTCAGGCCATGCAATTAATGTTTGGCAAACTTATACACAAAACGAGAGCCTACAATGGGAACTGGCAGGCAGTCTTAATATGGGGTGCTACCTGATTTGCCTATATTGGTAGTGTGCATCTGTTCTATATGCTTTTTAAGAATTAGGAAGCCTGTGTTCATTTCCTTGTTTTTTAAAGGCTTTAGTGCTGGAAATGAGGTAATAAGTAACTGTATTGTTTATACTTGGTAATTTTCATTGCTTTTTTGCAACAAAAGACTTGTTCTTTAGCTGGTATAAGTCAATAGAGACTTTAATGTAGCTATACCAATTAATGCCTGCTAAGGATCTGAACTAAATTGTTTTTTCTTCTCAGGTTTTGAGAGGGTTGTAATAAAATATGTTTATTTCCCTAAACAAAAAGAAAAAAAAACTATAATGGATGTCCTGAGTTTCTATTTGACTTATCTTCATTTTTTTCCTCTTGTGTAGCTAAATAAGGACAATGTTGAAGCTTTTAGCATGGGGGATGGGTAGGTTACCAGATTCTTCAGTTAAAGGAGTGAGCAGTGCTGCACAAATGAATGAGGACTTGCATGGAATCCTGGTTTCATACAATGACACCTGTAAAGTCCTATATATTTCCCAAGAAGTGTTGCTAGCTGCATCCATATAATGTCGTAGAAACACAGCACATAATGTTGGTAACAGCACTACAGCATCATAGGAAACTCACTGTCATGCTAGATCAAGCACGCTTTTGCTTCAGGTTCACAGTCTAGAAGAAGCTAGGATTTTCGCCATTGCTCTTGCTTTGTAAATAAATAAAGATGCAAAAGGAGAGGAAGAAATATTTGAAGCATAATTCTTTTCTCTTGTAGGGAAGAGCCCACCTTCTTCCTTGAGTGGTAGCAGGCAGGTTTCCTATGTGCAGAGCTCCCCAAAGAAATACAGAGAGGGCCTTATGCCAAAAGATCTCACCCCTTGCAGTGTTTTCACCACAACAGTTAATGGCTGTGTTTTCAGGAGAGCACAGAAATTTAGAAGCACCCTGCAGTCAGAGCTCTTTTGATCATCTGCAATTGCATCACTGGGAGGGGGCCATTGGCTGAGTAGTTGGGGAAATCTGGGCCTGACTAGGGGACCTAACCAGATGATGTGCTTTGGAAAGCCAGGCCATGACCACATGCTGAGTGCTGGGAAATCTAGCTCTGAGCTCTTTTGAAAATTCAGTCTTTTAATATTAAATGCAAAGCTATGAGGCTGGTTCAAGCAACACGTTTCCAGGTGTTGGGCAGACTCATTCTTGGTTCCATGGCTAACGTGCAGGGAAACTGGCTGCCTGAGTGCTGGGCTCATTGCTCCCAAATCTCCACTGTAGGAATACCAGACTCCATGCTGGCTCTGTGCTGAGAGGAGGAGAGAACATTACACCTTGCCATCTTTTGTCTCATTCCTAAGGAATAAACCTACTCTGGGAGCTGCAGAAAGCATGGCAATGGAGACCTGCTGACTCTGCTCAGAGGCAGAAGGAATTATGTTAAATCTATTTTCTTAAGACATGCAAGTCTGGCATGTACTTTCACACTGGAGCAAACTTCAGCATATTCATTCATCCCAAATATAATATTTCTGAGTTTTCAGTCTCTCTCTCTCTCTCTCTCTAAATATCTGGTCAAGGGCCTAAATGTCTTACCTTGATCACCTCTGGGGCCTGCTGAATCAAGGCTGGGACAGCATCTTTGGGTGCAGCTTCAGTGTAGCTTCTCTGCACAGCTGGAAAGGACTGTGAGGGGGCTGTCAGAGTTTCCTGAAGAATCTGCATCACTTCCTTCTCTTTGGATAAACTGCCTTTGCCCATTTGGAATTCGACCAGTTCCTGGGCAAAGTCCTCAATACTTTCCAGAATACGCAGTAAAAGAGCTTTGTCATCTTCCTCCATTTTATGGCCATTGGTTTCCATGATCTTTGACAAAGGGGAAGTAGGGCTTTTGTCTGCAAGTTTTCCTTTGGTTTCAAGAGCGAGGGGTATTGCCTGCCCACCCTGGTGGCTGAACTCCTTAATACATGCAGGATCATTCTCCTTAATGATGGGCTCCCTCAGGGTGTTCTCCATCTTTTGTGAGAAGTGTTCCAGGTCCAAGAGCAGCTTATCTATCTCATCCTGGTTGGTTGCCTTAGATTCTGCTTGCTCCCTCTTAGAGGTATCATCCAGAAGAGAATCTGAGGCTGGTTCTATCAAGACTGTTTTCTCAGAGGTATGGGCAAGATCTTCATCTTGCACTCCAGCAGGTGCTGCTTTAAGGTCTCTAGCAGGATCTGAACTTCCAGTTTTCTGTTGCCTGCTCCCTAAACTCTCCCAGTTCCCTTTACTCTCTGCCTTCTTTACCTTGCCTGGTGTTATTTCCCCATCTGACTCTTCCACAATGTACAGAGGTTCTGTGGAAGACATGCAGTCAGAGGGGCTTGCAGTTGACAACTGAGGTAGAGCACAAACATTTTTCACAGCTCTTCGGGTGTGCTCCTGGGGGGTGCTGTGTAGGGAGTTTGAGGTAAAGCTCACCGTGTTAGTTTGGATGGATTTGGCAATGCAACTTGTACTGATCTCATGAGGATCATCTTGCCGTTCTACACTAAAGGAGTGGTCAGTCCTGGAGGATGGCGACTGTACAATATCCTCATAACGAGGTGGTTGCTCATTACCAAATATTGGGGAAAAGGGTGTCTGTTGCAAACTGTGCAGGCTATTCAGCAATTCGGCCAGGTCACTGGGTTCTGCATGTCCAGACTGCCTGAATTCAAAGGGCAGCTTTTTCAGGTAGGAAGAAAACCTTGACATCAAATTCATATAGATCATTTCAGAGTTGGCCAGGGGGTCATTACTGTTTCCCCCACCAAGACCATCTGAAGATTTTTTTTTGATGCAGTGCTTTATTATATCTGTACATTTTTTCAGGTCTGCTGAGCATTTCAGCAGGATGTCCAAACACACTTTAATGTCCCCACCAGAAGAGGTGTCCAGCTTGTGCTTTTCTAAAATCTGAGTAATAAAGCTCTCTTCAGAAAAGGTTTGGGAGGAAAAAGGGCCTATGTGTCCCTCTGGAGAATTACTCGTCTCCTGCCATTTCTCCCCAGGCAAGGGATTCTGCAGCAAGCCAAAAGGAGGACAGTTCTCATCATTGCTTAAGTGCCCATAAATCAAATCAAAATCAAATGAGCGCCTGCTGAACGTTTCGGACCTAACTTTCCTTCCCTTTCGATGGGTTACATGGCTGGAGTTTCTGAGCTTGTCAAATGAGAATTCTTTTGTTTTGCCACTGGCAAGATTGATTGCTTCCCCAGTGATATCTTTGAGACTGCAGGAGGTTTGTAGTGAAGAACCCTTTTTGAGCCGTGGGTTACTTGAGAGGATCTGGTGGTAGTCCTCATTTCCAGGCAAAGCTGGCCCATTCTCAGGAGCAGGAAGTTTAGTGCCCAGATCTGTACCTTTGCTGTGGGATGCTGGGACTCGAAGCAGCTCTGCACAAATACTGCGGTGGGCCACAATGCATGCCAGGCCCTGCCTGACTGCGTGGCAGGCCCCAGGGCAGTAATGCACGGTGTGCTGAAAGCGGCACTCTACCACAACGCTGCTGTAGCAGTTCACTGTCGTGACCACAAGTTTGTAGGCTGCTGCCATAGCATGGATCCCGTGTAGTTGCAAGGGCTGGGAAATTCACCAGGAATTCAATTAAAATCAGTCCCCCACACTGCCTCAAGCCCAAGCCATGCTGAATAAAAACATTAAAATGAGAGTATCCTCTCTTCAGTTCAGAAAATAACTGCAAACTACAGTGGAAACTATTGACTGAGATACCTAAAGGTTTACAGTAGCTGCAACAGAATTAGTGGCCAGTGCAACACACACAAGGTTTGATCTAAGGCAACTTGACTACATAGTATTCCTTAAGGTTGTACCCCCAAAAAGACATGACTTTGCTGACCATAGATACAACATCCAGTGCTTCTCTTCTCACAATGCAGGCAGTTTCACTAAGAGGCACTAAAGAACTTAAAGCAGCTCTCAAACAAAAATGTGACAAAACAATTACTTTTTCTCCCCCTTATTTTTTGTCTTTGTCCTGGTTTGGGGCAATAGAGAGAGATGTTCTATGCAGAAAGACACGGGTAGTAATCTGATGCTACGTGAGAATGAAGAATCCACAAGATGCCTGAATGATCCAGCTCCAGCAACGGAGGTACCTACAATAAGGGGGGGGAAAAAAGAAGAGTCAGTACAATTACTAGAGAGAGTACATACATTAGTTAATACTGACATAGGACAGCTTATTTAACCCCCCGTGCATGGCCTTGTGTCAACTACAGTTTAAGCTACAAATGACAGATTTATCTGGCAACCACAACTTAGCTGGCCAGCATGTCCTGCGGTTGGCTGCTGGCTGGCAGCAGAATTCTTCTCCTCCTCAGCAGAAGTGAAGTAATTCTGGTTGCAGACCAGGGCTGTGCAGCCACAGGGCAGCTTTCAATGCAGAGGCCAAGCTTTGCGTGTGCAGCTGAGTATGTACTCTTGGTCTTCAGAGGTGCGTGGGTTTATCCATCAAGTGGCTTAGCTGCCAAACAACGTGCAAACAACCAGTTGATAGATGAACTGCATCTGCCAGGACCCTGAATACCAACAGGATCTTTCTTAATTAGGAGCTAACAAGGAAGTACCTGCTGAATTCCTAGATGAACTAGCAGGCATGCTTGATTTGTAAGTAGTGCTTTTGAGATCAACAACAATTGGTTTGTGGCATTTGCACTGTAAGCACATATGAGCTATTTTGCTCTTTTTAGAAACAACTAGCTGAACACATGATGAAAAAGCTGAAGAGCTAGCCTAAAGTTTACCTTACATCTGTAATACCTGTACACTTCTATTCCACAGGCTCTTTTCAGTTGCTTGTCACACTCCACAGCTTTTTTGAGCATCCCCATCTCTTTAACTGAGCAAAAATAACATTGACTATTTCAGGGAACTGCCCACCCTGCACATGAAAAAAGGCTGAAAATCTGACAAACTACCATATTTTCTGGTGCTTAAGGTACTTTTTCTCCCTGAAAAAGGAGCTGTAAAATTATGGTGCATCTCATGTACTAAAGCTACATAATGCGAAATAACTGGAATGATTGTAATAAAGGTTCACCAGCTTTCAATTACAATTTCATTCTTTTTATGGGAGAGGTGCATCTTACACATAGGTGCATCTCAAGCAAAGAAAAACTACTGGAAATGCAATGTGGCCAATGCCATTCAAGAGTGAAGCAAAAGAGGTAACCTCTTCAGTTAAGCTTAACAGACCGTCTTCATTTTTTCCATTTGCTCATTTTAAGATTGTTAAATGCAGGACTCTACTGTTTTTATTCGGCACTAGCCAATTGCCTGTCAAGAATGATGAGGGGGCCTAGGATGGAGTGCTGCCACCTAACGCCCCATGCTGCCACTGTCCTGCCTCTTGCAGGAAGCAGGGAGCAGGGTCCCTCTGTCCGGTCCCTGGCGTGGCTTCAGAGTCAAGGCAGTGCTCCTCCACACTTGGAGCACTCTAGCTGTTTGTCACCCAGTCAGAGGGTGAATAAAGTATTATGGACAGACAGACAGACTTGGGCTCTTATAATATTAGAATAATTGTATATCGTATCATCAAGCAGTTGTTCCCGAGCTAAGCTGCAGAACACAGGTAGTCCATGAGGCTATGGTAACTGATCTACAGCTGATCCACAGAATTACACCAAATCCCATGCTCCAGAGGATCCCGATGTGGCACTCTCCCTTCCCTCCCCCCTCCCCTTTCCCCCTCTCTTTCAAAGGTAGTGCAGTACTGTGGCCTCTTTCCCATGCCCTCACCCCTACTCCTCCTTCTGCACAGGGAGGGAGGAATATTTGGGAGGGGTGAAACCAGCTGTTCCAGATGGAGTGTTTGAGGGGGATGTTTTGAGAGATGCCCCTGTGACCTTCTGATGGGGGGAGGGGGGTGTTTGGGAGGGATGACAGCACAGTTTTGCAGCTGTGTATTTTATTTTCACTTACAGACGCTGTACAGTGTTTTCAGTTAAATCTGATGATAACAGAGCATACTGGCTCCATAAGATATTGTGTGGGTTGACAGAGTTCTGTTGATCCAAAAAGTGTGGGAACCCTTGATTTCAATAATTGAAAAACATATCAAGATGTATACAGCAAAATAAGGGGGCATGATCAGCCTTAACCAAACCATTCCTTGACTCACATGCTTCATCCTAAAGTCTTAGTATTCTATTAATGCTGGGTTTTTCCCCCATTAGTTTGATAGATTTACAAAAAAGACAAGGAAAAGAACAGTAAGGAAGTGGGCTTTAGTCTGCAGGATTGCCAGCCTCTGACTTGCAAAGTACTGTGCACTGAAACTGTAATTCTACAGTCTGAAGCCATGTGGTAGATATCTCCTGAATGTCCTCAGTTCCCACTGGCCTGTGACTGGTTACAGGAGCACTGCAACATCTTCATGAAAAAATAATTAGTTGTCACTCTCTTACAATTCACAAACAACAGAAAAGACTTAACAATTCATCTTGGTAGGCACCAACACTAGAATGTGAACCTTTCACTGTCATTAGCCTGTGAAATCTAGGAGTGGAAACTGGTTTTCATTCTTAATTAATGCAGCAGCCTCCCCCTGCAGCATCAGCATAACATTCAAACAAAGTTTGTTACCAGCAAGCTCAGTTTAATTCCATTAATAAAAACAGGAAATCTTGAATGCAAGGCCTGCAGATATCTTTCATCTTTCATGAATATCTGAATAACCAAGACAAACCACAACTTAAATTCTGACCACACTGTATCTGTCTACAGACATATTTCATTACATATCATCAAACTGCAATTAAGTCACATTGAACTGTATTTTGTAAATGATACTAGATAAAGTTTCATCCCACCACTAAATATTTAAGTAACCATTCCAGTAATGTTGCTGCTGGCCAGCTTCTTGTTCTGAAGCTATAGCTTGGGGATCACTACATGTCATTACCAGATGCCACACTGACATCTCCTCAGTGTGACTGGGCAAAATAATGGTTGGTGGAGTTAGTCGTCTTATTGTCTTTCAATTATATAAACCATCCCAACAGTTATGCATTCAAAAAGAAGAGCTAGGAAGCACCCACACTTGGATGTTAGTGTCTAGCAGGCAGCCACCTGCCTGCTGAATGTTTTGGGCAAAATCCCATGCTGGACCTCCCCTTGTTGTCAATCCTCTGCCTGCTCTGATCTATGCCAGCTGGCCTTGGCCCCAAACTGCCACAGGGAGAGGAGGGACATACAGAAGTACGATCCCAGGCATGGGGTGTGTTGCAGCCAAAGCAGTGAGTCAGGATGCCCTGGGATAAAGAAAGGAATAGCAGATTTCAAACCTTGGGGTGCTGACTATGCCAAGAGAGGCATGCTTCAGTCTCCCAAATCATTGCGCAGCAAAGTCACAAATGTCATGTACGTGAAAGTCCCATCAGCTCACATTCATACATGCTTTGCTGATTCAGCACATTGGCAGCACATTATTGGTGTCCCCCCCAAAAAAATTACCCCTTTTTAAAAGCTACTAGATGTTTCCAAACAAGAAAGCTTGTCCTTGTTGATCTCCATCAGGTCTAAGCATCCCTGGTCCTTGGGGCAGTCCCTCCCATCCGGCACTGATACAGGTGGAATAAGACCAAAATCCCTCCCAGCTGGCTCAGCCAAATCAGTAGCCAGTTTTTGTCTCCTGCTGTCTTGCAGTAAGACATGCCTGTTCCACATCACATCCTAAGTTTCCCTCAAGTACAGATAAACTTTCCTGAAAACAGGCAAAAGAGAGAGGAAAAATAGGAGCTGACACATACACAACATGTGCATGCACCCACCCTCCCCTGCACGCCCTTTAATCAGGGATCCTAAACCAGAAGCCTTGTGGCCACATCCAGAGCACTCTAGGCAGGCTAATTAGTGCTGCTAGGCGCCAGCATCAGTCAGCCTGCTCCAAACTAATGAGACTGGATCTGCATAGATATGGCTATGCTGCTTCCAGTTTCAAAGGCAGCCTGTGCAGATCAGCCCCTCATATTTGGGGACACAGCTTCTTAAGCCAGCAGGGAGAGACTGCAGCTGGGGGAGGACTTGGAAGATTGCTCATGTTCTCTTTTCCAGCGACCCCACACAATAGCAAAATGCACATAAGTTTCTGTCTGCAAACCCATGGCTCTGCTCTGGTCTCCTGTCAAAATACAGGACTCCAGAAGCCTGAAAATGTAAATATTGAAAAAAAAATCAGGAAAGGCTCACTTAAATCCCCTTCCTGTGTCCTCTCCAGGACCTCTGTGTCACAAGAAACAACAAGTTACTGTCTCCTATTTCAAGAGTCCTCTCCAGTGTTCTGGGTTTCTGGGTCACCCAGACATCAAAGCCCAGGTTTTCATTTCAAATCTGCTGAGTTGTCGTTTTGAGTTCTCCACCTGGCCTTCTAATTTCATTCACTAGCTGTCTTATCCCTTAGTTTCCAGATCCCCTTTATGATGGGGAACGAACTGTGGAAGCTCTTATTATGTCCTTTCTGCGTTTGTGTTGGGTCACCGCTGTTGGCGCTGCAAGGCCTGAGCCCTAACAGCTGGCACCTGTGACTTTAAAGTCATCTGTAAATTTCTTCCGAGATATCCTCAACCTGCCTAGGCTCTCGGAGAAGAGATGTCCTATATTAGCATTATTTATGTACTAGTGATACTACATGTCCCTGTGATCGGACTTCTGAAAGTAAATTCTCCCAAAGTATGTCCCCTCACTATCATCAGGCTCTCTTCCACACCCATTCCAGTCTAGTTTAAAATATTATTCCACAGTTTGAAAGATGTTGGTGTTAAGGAATTTTTCCTGATATCCAGCCAGTATTTTATCTTTACATTGTCATCCTCATCTTCCCAGTTAAGCCCCTTGTGCCAAACTACACAGTTCTTCTCCATCCTTGCAGTTTATGCCATCAAATACTTCTGGATAATTGTCCTTCTTCAGTCATCATCATTCAGCCAATTACACATATTCAGCTCTTTTAGTTTCTACATATGCCAGTCCCTCTAGCCATGTTTGTTGCTTTTCTCTAAATGCTTTCCAATATTTCAGTATCTTTTTGGTACTAACATGTCTAAGAATCAGCATAATCTGCATACAGGCTCATCACTGAAAAAGGACTGATGCCTGCCTCCATGCTAATATGTTC